TGAGAAAGGAGGAAAACCCAGCTTTCAAAGTAGTCCATTCTGCAGCAATTTCAGCTCAAGATTTTTGCACACTACTGGGGGGGGCAGCAAAGCTTGCTCTTCCCTCCCACCTCCCTCATGACCTTGATGAATTCTGCTTCCACCCAACTGACTGATATGTCATTTGTCATTTATGGCTAAAGCTGAGTGACCAAACTGTAATTATTTTTTTTTTATATTTATCAGTTTAAACTGTTTCTAGTTTTCTTTACAAAAACCGAAGAAGACAAAAAAATTTAAGCACATGTCAAAGACTCTGTTACCTGTACAAACAGAATGTGTCTCATTTCTCAAGGTATTGTAGTAACCATTAGAACAGTCCAAACAAAAGTCTCCTGTATATTCCTTGTTACAGCTACATGTGCCATCTCCACCTCGGGTACCATCACCATCACAGCGTCCATTCCCATGGCAAGGTCTTTCTGATCCACCACGACAAGCTAAAAATGATCAAAAATACTTTTAAATCAGATGCTAAAGGAAAACAATCTCCAGGAAAGTTCAGCTATAAATTTGATTTTGGGTAAAAGACCATGACTTAGGATTCTATCTATTTTCCTAACTTCCTGGCTAAAGTTCATATCCTTATTTATTCTGGACTTCTGAGAATGTTCACACTGCAGCTGGAAAAACCTAAGCAATCATTTAGATTACTGGGAATCACCACAACTTTTAACGACATAAGAGGCCAATGCTGACCTCTAACCACGTGCAAGGTTTTAGAGATTTGTAAATTAAACAAGCTTCAGGGGCTAAAATACATCCTTTACATCACTTTTGCATTGAAGACCTTACTTTCATCCAGTTGTCTCCCACCTATTTTTGTCCAATTTCTCCCATTGCCTTTTTAACTAATCCTCAGTTGCGATTTTTTTAATTTAATCCCTGTGTTTTGGCTATATTACCCTTCAAACTGGTCAAGAACTGTTGTCTACATAGTTTCCGAAAGGCCACCTAAAACCAGACTCGATGCCACAGGGAGTGTGGATGTGAGCATCAGATCAGATTAATTCTGCACATTTAAGTACCCTTGACAGTTTTGTATGTTACTTCATGCTCAGAAGACTTTTTTTCAAGCAGGATGCTCACAATGCAGCCACGTAACTACAAGGTAGCAGGCAGGTACATACTACACAGCAGCTGGTGTCTCACACAAAATATTCTACTTCACATATTTTTCCATGTCATGAAAGATAAAACCCATAAAAAGAAGGTAATCTGCCACTGTATTTTTCAAAAGAAAAATTACCAAGGCAATCTGGTCCATATGTTCCAGCAGGGCAGCAAACTTCTATTGTTTCTATACAAAACCACTTAAACAAATCAGGATACTTCTTCTTTCTGTATATGAAAGACATTTATTTATCAGAAAAAGAATAATGATTATTTAAAAGCCAACTCACACAACTGAACCTGAACAATGCAGTATAGAAACCTATTGCAAGTGACAGATTAGGAACCTTTATATTCTGTTCTAAAGACAACCTTATTCCAGGAACAAATTTCTAGAAGTCCTTCAACTTGAGACGAAAGCAGTTTTATGACAAAGGAAAACAAAAGAAGTAATACCTTGAAGTTTTCCTATGTTAGTTTGCCTCAACACCCCACTGGTAACTAAGTAGACAGTGAATGAGAAGCGAGACTGTTTTGGTGCAACACTTCTGGAACTGAATATAAAAAGAACACAGTACAGCAGCACACGCTATTAATAGTCAGCCTGAAAACAATGGTAACTCTTGAAGGATAATTAAGAATTCCCTGTACTGCTACAGTTCAGGCACAAGATTTAACATCAGTTGTTCAACTTCTTAGATCATTTATCCACAAAGATATCTCCATAAAAAAAAGAAACACAAACAAAAACTTACAGTTTGAACCACCATTTCTCTATGTGCTCTTCATGCTCTTCTACCATGTTGTTACATTCAAAGTTACTACTGTCACACAGTTTCTCTATGATCTCTACAAGACGGATTTCGCTACAAGCAGAGAAGGAAAACCTTAAGTTTAAATTAAACACAAATTAAATAAGTTTAAACATTTGACACCACTCAAGATATGGCAGAGAAGATAGACTTTAGCCTAGAATACTTTATCAGTTTATAGTGTGTTCTGAATTACTTCCAAAACAAAGCAAATACCAGAATAAAGAACTAATGAACATTACAAACTAGAAGGATGACCACAAGAACCACGTTGGCTTGCTTGCACTTATTATGTCTGCAGATTATAGGTTTGATCAATTTTCAGCTTTCCAGAAAATGTTGAGTGCAGTATTTTTCTCCTAAATTAAACATTAAGTTTCATGCATGGTTAATACCTGTTACAAGCCCACAAAGCTCACAGCAACTGAGGTTCAGGAACCCCACCCTTACATCTCAATGCTCCAACTATGATTAAAAAGTGAATTTGAAATTTGGAAGAAAAATACCCAAACATTTTGCTCAGTAACCAAACCTATTTATGAAAAGGGAACAGTAATTTGCACCTCTTCTAGTTTTGTGTTTGGCACTGAAATAGTGACAGCTCTAGGGAGGAAATACTCCTTTAATTCCAAAACAAGAGTACTGCAGTACTCCACACCTTCTATGACTAGTGACCATTATTTAAGATCCTTATTTTACAACTTTAATAATAGGAAAAAACCTATCATGATAAATGACAGCATTAACTTTTTTTTTTTTTAGTTGAAACCAGGCAAATAAAGACATTAATAAGGGGTTTCAGTCTTTACTGTAACCTTTACATTACAAAGCAATGTCACATGTTAATCAGTCAGAATTTAAGGCTCGGACATGTGAAGCTTTAGCTGCAACGTACAACTTTAAGTTCCAGGCAAACACCATTGCAGTTTGTTACACATAGTGGATATGAAACATAGCCAAAGCAGAAGTACTGAGACAGCTTACCTGGACTCATACTTTGACAGTGTTTTTTCTTCCCAAGCAGTGTTCCCACCACCAAAGTTTTTTTTAGCTGTATCTGCTAATCCCTACAAATAAACAGCACCAAAAGAATGCAAGTTACAGAAGAGTTTATTTCTAACAAAAATTAAGGGCAATAGTAAATGCTTGTATGAAAACTGCAAAAAGTGCCGTGCAGAAACCTCAGTGAAGTTTAGAAGCTGCTGGTAAAATTGCTAAGTGAGAGAAACAGCTAGTGACAATATGAAATGTGAGAAAATGTAAGTGATAGCATAACATGACTCAATTTTCATAATGCATTAACAAGGGCTTGTTACAGTCTTCATCTACATCAAAAACATACAAGTATGAAAGTTTATACCTTTGTCCTTTAAGTTCTCAGGAACTTTATTAATCACTGAACAGGGCCTCTACTTCATTTGATTTATATAGCAACTTGGACCAACTTGACCACGTTGTAACTTAAACACACAATCATACAACAGGGTAACTAATCATGATCACCACAACTTCTCCAAGTCACTAGGCCAGTGCCTACCAAATCATACTTTACACTAAACCTCCATAGTTAAAGTGATCTACAACAGCAAATATACATACAAAGAGTATGACCCATCCCTGGCAGGGTTCAGGGCCAGGCTGGACAGGGCTTAGAGCAACCTGATCTAGTGGGAGGTGTCCCTGCCTGTGACAGGGGTGCTGGAACTATATGAACTTTAAGGTCCCTTCCAATCCAAACCATTCTATGACTCTAAGTATCTGTCACAAGCTGAAGCAGCCCCTCACTGTCTGCACTGAATTTACTGTGCCGTGATGTAGGCCTGCTGAAAGTGGCGAGAGACAGAATTTTAGGAGATTTAGGGGCTCCTCATGGAGCCAAGTGTGGTATGGCCAGTAGAGCAAATGAAAGCTGCACTGAAGCACCAAAACGTTTTTGGTAGCAAAGCTCGAGGAACTATGTAACCTGCCGACCAAAAGGAGTACAACTCCTTTGCAGCAGGGAGCCACAGCCAGGAGCAGGAGGCTGCCGTGTGCCGGCTTGGACAGACGCTGTCAATACCGGAACACCCGCGGGAACGCTCCCGGAGCCTGGCCGAGGGGCAGCAGGAGCTGCAGGACAGAGAGCAGAGCAGCCTCCGGGCCGCAGCGCCGCACCGCGCCGGCCTTCCGCCGGGCCGGCTACCCTCCGCCACAGACCGGACGCTGCCCCGTGCCGCTGCACCTCAATCAGCCCGGAAGACCCGCGGCCGGCTCCTCACAGGGGAGTCTCCGCCCGCCGGCCCCCAGCCCCACCGCCCACCTGGTTGAACCTGTCCACGATACCCCGGCAGGTGGAGCACGCCAGGCGCCGCCGCTCCCCGGCGCACAGGCCGGGCGGCAGCATCAGCAGGGTAACGCAGACAGCTACGGCCAGCGGCGCCGGAGCCGGGCGAGCCGCGGGGCCAGGCCTCATGGCGAGGGCGCGGGGAGCCCCGGGGAGAGGGAGCGGGGCCGCGCCAGCCGCGGCACCGAACCCGCCTCAGCGCCGGCCGCGCACACAGCGCTCGCTCCGCCCCGACCCCCGTAGCAACCGGCCCGCGAGCTCCATTCAGATTTTCGCGACAGCTTCACGCACGCTCCGGCCGCAGGCACTCGTTGGCGGAGGCAGGGGAGCGGAAGAACGTGGTCCAATCAGCGCCCGCCACGCTCCGGACCAATCGGAAACCCCCGCGTTCTCGGAACGTTATCGGGGGAGGTAGGGAGCCGTCTGAGGAAGCAATGCGTACCGGCCTCGCGCGTCGCCGCCATGATGAGACCGGGCAGGCACGAGCTCCGCCAGGGCTTCAGCTCCACCCGCCATTTTTGCCTGGCGCCCTCCTCGGAGCCCTCTCGTTGCAGGGGCCGCGCTCTGCCCTCAGCTAACATGGCTGGCCGAAGAGGGGTCACGTGGCCACGGGGCTGTTTTCCCCCTCCCGTCCCCTCCTGCCGGCGCCCTCCGCGGGGTGGCCACGTGGAAGCGCGGGCGGTGAGTGCGGGTCGGTCGGAGGGCGCTGCGGGGAAAGGAGGCGGCGAGCGGTGGGAAGTAGCGGTCGTGTGAGGGGCAGCGGGAAGGGCCCGTTCTTTCGCCGCAGCCCTGCTGCAGTTCGGCCGGAGGGCGGCTCCGGAACCCCATCCCCCGCGGAGGCGCTACCAGGCGGCCCCCACCCGTGGGCACGGTAGCTGCGGCGCGGCGGGAGGGAGAGGGCAGGGCAGGGCAGGGCGGGGCAGGGCAGGCGCTTCCTGAGGGGCCGCGCGGCGTCTGTCGCGGCTGGGTGTCCGCCGCGGGGTGCTGTGCGGGCGGGGTGCGGTGCCGTGCCCTCAGGAGCGGTGGGCGGTGTTGTGGTCTCGTCATGAGCCGGGCCCCCCCCCCCCCCCCTCAGGGCCGCACCGGAGCGACCTGAGGGGGAGAAACTTCACCCCCATGTCGAGCGCGCCGGGTGTAGGTGTGCTGGGGTGGCGGAGGGCAGAAGGAGAGGGCATGTTTGGGGTGTTGGATTGTTTAGATTTGGTTTTTTTTTTTTTAACGAGAGCATTCTGTATGTTTCTAACTCAAACTGTAATACGTTACGTAGCTTCATTGTATCTTACTACCTGGTGATGTCCCAGGCTTCATCTGCTAAAGCTTTCCCTTTTCTTTTTTGATTCCTGGCGACATGTATATAGGAGAAGGGATAATGGCTTTAAACTGAAAGAGCGTAGGTTTAGATAAGACATTTGGATGAAATAATTCTCTGAGGGTGGCGAGGCCCTAGCACAGGGTGCCCAGGCAAGCTGCAGCTGCCCTATCCCTGTCAGTGTTCAAGGCCAGGTTGGACGGGGCTTTGAGCAACCGAGTCTAGTGAGAGGTGTCCATGCCTGTGGCAGGGGGCTTGGAATTAGATGAGCTTTAAGGTCCCTTCCAACCCAAACCAGTCTATGATAAAAGAATAGCAACTGTCATGTTCCTTCTTAGAAAAAAAGGTAAAGCAGTCCCAGTAACTGCAAGCTTTAAACCTGACTTAGCTTAAGTTAGCTTTAAAGCAAAGTTGGAAGGGCTATTAAAGCATAGGAAAACAAACCATGAAAATTGAAGATAACACAGCATAGGTTTTACCAAAGGTTGGCCAAGCCAAAGAGGGAGGACCTCACGGTGAGATGCTCATGGCGGTTGGGCTTAGATGCCTCCATACAGAGCATGTGATGAAGTGAAATGCAGCCTCTGTAGACATATTCAACATGTTTTGGCTGCCAAACTGTAACATATTTATACTGAAGCATATCTGAAAAATGTGAGCTAAGTATGGTGGATTTTCCATGGAAAGAGTCAGAAGTCCATTATTTGAATTAATGACACTTCAATAGAAAAAAAGAATAAGCCATTTTTAAGTGTTTCAGCTTTTTTTCAATGTACAAAAACAGTGTATTTTCACCCAGTTTCATCCTAGGAAGAGATGAGATCTTTGTGTTGAAAAATTCTGCTCTTCTATGATTCAGTCTTAATGTAGAGCCTGGGGGGGGGAGTCAGTGTGGCTATGTTGTACAGGTTTGAGGAAGATTCTTCTAAAGTTGTTGGAATGTTAATGATGGATAAAAGTATTTGTATTTGCTTATGATGTTCCTCTTACCTTCATTATTAAAATGTTTTTATTCAGTGAAAATCTGTTTCTGTGGGTTTGGCATTTAAAAATAAAATCTGTAATTGCAAGTATTCCACTTGAACTTTGAGATTTGCCAGAATCAATTTTCAACAGAGCAAGTTATCTTGGGTCTTGACAAGACCACTGAATTTATTAGGTTTTATCTCAGAAACCTAGGTGTTGTCTTCATGCTTTGGGTTTTTATCTCCTAGCATGTTTCCCTTGAGGGAATCCCACTATGTATAATGCATGTAATTATCTTCCAAATCTATGAATATGCTGGCAAGTTTATGTTCTTCAGGCAAACAGAGGGATTGGAGTCAAGAAGTTTAAAAGAACGTCTTGTGGTAAACTGTGTATGGAATGTGTAGCTTCACTGTCATTCTGATGATTTAGGAGGCTGAGGACTGATTACTTATGTGGTGATCAGTTAAAGATAGTGGAAGCAGGCTATATTGTAGAGTGATAAGAGTCTAATGAATGAAGCATTTGTAGGTGAAGGTAACATCTCTTTATTACACTACTGACAAAGTCAAGACGGAAAACATAAGAGCTTCTTCGCATTTGGATCCTTTCACAAGGATTCATCGGGTCCTAAAATATCTGAAACATTAAGAAGCTGTGAGTTAGGAGTGAGGAACACCTGTCTTGCTGATGCATTACACACAGACAGAGTAGTACAAGCTACTCAATGCCCATGTTGCTATATGCAATGGTGGAGTGATCCTTCAGTGTCCCTTTTTAACTTGGCTAAGTTTGGCCAGAAATGTGATGCCTTTGTGTTTACTGGAAGAGTTCATCAAGAGAGCTTTCTAGAAAGAAGAATTTGTACAAGATAAATTGCCCCCTGCAGAGGCTTAATTCCTGCTAAATACTTCTTGAAATGCCCTGGGTGTCAGTCCTGTACCTCTTTTACTGCAGCTGTGGAAGAGGATTCTGTCGTAGCATAGCACATTATCCATCCTTGTAAAGAAGTGATACTAAGCACAGGTTAAAAAGACTTCTTCCCACTTCTTGGGGTGTTGTGTTTATTTAGGCTCTTCACATTGCAAAACAAGCCAAAAATCTTAAGGACCTACCACAGAACTCTGTCTTTGAGCCCAGGGTTGGAGCTTAAGTTGCAGACTGTAACCAGCAATCATGAGAAAGAGATGCAGTCAGAGAGATAGGCAGATACATGCTATTTTCAAGAAGTACACAAATTTTAGGGATTTATTGGTGTTGGCTGTGAAAATAACATTAACTCTATTTTTGCTAATGAGCAGGACAGACATCAATTCTAGGAGGCAGTTGCTAAATGATCCTAGAAATCTGCCAACTATTGTAATCTGTTTGATGGGCATGTTTAGACCAAAACATGGGAGAAAACATCTCTAACCAAAGCCTCAGTTGCACCTTAAAGGTGCTATTTTTAAAGTTCTGTTTCTGTGAGAACAGAACAAGAGTAACAGTAATCAAAATTTCTTTTATTAAGTTGTAAACTTGCAAAAAGTGGGAACTTTAAAAAGATTACCATGGTTTAACTGGAAATGGTGATGGAAAATAATTCCCCTTCTCCCCTCTCCCGCCTCTCCCCCTGCTTTATAATCTGAAACCAGAAAAAGATGAACTGTTTACCCATGATATTGCTTATTCTTACTTGTTCTGGCATCACCTAGATACATGATGGTAAAATACATCATAAGTAGCACTATAAGAATGACTCAGTAATGCTGTGAAACTAAGCACTAGGACCTTCGTTTCTGGGCAGGAGCGCAAAGAATGGGAGTCAGACCATCTCATGCTGTAGTAAGGCATGGTGTCAAAGGGGATTCATCCTTCACTAGCCGAGTCCAGATCTAGCCACTGGCAAGTTGGTAAACTCGGAAGATCAGAGCACACGGTTCAGAGCAATTTCTCATCCTCGTGGTTCCTTTCCCACTAGTTTCTGAGTCCTAGACAAATCATAGAATAGTTAGGGTTGGAAAGGACCTTAAGATCATGAAGTTCCAACCCCCCTGCCCGATCATACGTAAATCCAGTGTGTGTGATTAAAATAAGAGTATACTACAAAGCTGTCTCACCCACAAAATGCAGACGTAGTTGAGGTGGCACTCTCAGCAGTCATGGCACTATGGAATGCAAAGGGAAATGCTTTCTTAAGTAGGGTCTGTGTTGTCTGAGGCTGTTATATTTGAAAACTAAAGCCATTACATTTAGAGAAGGTGGTATAAACCCTGAAATGGTGCCTGCTGTCTACTAATGGTTTTGGCTGTCTACTCAATGCACTGACTGTATATAGTAAAAAAAAACAAACAGATGGATTATTTATTAGTTTTTGTTTAAACTTTTCTGTTACTGTAGAATGTTTTCCTAGTATTACCAATCTCTCTGTACACTTCTTGCCATGTTATTAATGTATTTTCTTCTGTTTTTCTTTTTAATAATAGTAGAATATATGTGAAATTCAAACCCAGGATGGGTCAGAGGAGGAGCTCTAGTGGGCGGCCATTCCCATTGCTGCTGCTAATTATTGTTGTGGCCTTTGTTCATTTAACTGTCTGTCCTTTTACAAAAGTGGAGGAAAGCTTTAACCTACAAGCTATCCATGATGTGGTGTACCACCAGCTGGACTTGGATAAGGTAAATTGGAAAAAAGGTATTCTTTCTTGGATACTGTTAAAGATTATGATTCCTTGCTATATGAGCAGGATAAGTGCAATGTGAATATGATTAATTCCCATTTTGCTTTGTCTCTGATGTGTCTATCTTACTTAGATTTTCCTTTTTGCAGTATGACCATCATGAATTTCCTGGAGTTGTCCCAAGAACCTTTCTTGGACCAATTTTTATTGCTGCTCTTTCCAGCCCAGCTATATATATACTCTCTGTGCTAAGAATGTCAAAGTTTTACTCCCAGCTGATAGGTATGAGATCTTTTAAATCCTCAGAATAGAGATGTTTTTACTACTGGACTAATGGGTGATGTCTGTGACACTATTGTAACATTCAGTGTTTGGATCAATGCTTAAAATAGTATATTCTTTTCCTTATTGAGGGATTTTGCAAACTGTAGGTAGTTGGAGCTAGCACGGTAATTACACCCCCTCTTTGGGGTAACTAACAGCACAAAGTCTGTGGTAATAAATGTCAGACAGTGTAGAAAAAGCAAGTGTCTTCAGTGAAAACACTCCCATATGTACTTCCATGTACACCTCAGAAAATACTGTTCAGCTTGGGCATAGAAGCATTGACCTTTGTGCAAAAGTGTCAGACAAGTTAAAGATGGATTAAAATAGGTAAACCAATGGGGAAGCTTTGGGTTGTTGGTTTGGGTTGGTTTTTTTTTCTTCAAAGTGGGTTATATTGTTTTATCTTCAGTATTATTCTTCATAACATCTTCCTGTTCTGTTATGCCATATGGTTGTTTGACAGTGATCCATCAATTACTACTCTTATTTCACATTTTTATTCTTCTAATAGTCCGAGGAAGCTTGGGGCTCAGTGTGATTTACGCGTTATGGAAGTTGCAGAAAGAAGTTAGAAAGCAGTTTGGAGCAACTACATCAACAATCTTTTGTCTCATCACTGTTACTCAGTTTCATTTGATGTTTTACTGTACACGAACCCTCCCTAATGTGTTTGCACTTCCTTTTGGTAAGTATTTACCTAGGAATAATTCTAAAATATAAAAATCCTCAAATATATCAGTGTGTTAAAGCACAGAAAATGTGTGATCAGACCAAATGGGTTTATGCACTTGATTAAATTGTATAAGAAGACTAGAATTAATGAAGCAGTTGTTATTTCTTGGTCTTTTTTTTGTTTGTTGGTTTGTTGTTTTTTTTTATCTGTATGTGCTTTCAATGACTGAATCCAGTTTTATTGAATCTGAGTATGTGTGGAGTTTGTCAGTTGGTTTTGATTAACTAGAGGTTTGGGTACACATACCTGATGCATAAAACAGAGCTGTTGAAAAGGCAGTATAAAAAAACTCACCCAACCTGTGTTAACTTAGTCTACACAGGAAACAGCTTTCTCATGAGACTGTGGAACAAACTCCACCGCAACAGCTCACCTTCCTCTTCTGAAGTTATCTACAAATATAGCAGGTTTTGAAAAAAAGTCAAAGTCAAAATCTTACTCTGCACATCTACACATACAGTTTTTCCCCAGAGTGGACGAAAGGGAAGATTAACCATATTAGCTGGGTCACTTAATGCTTCAGTGCAAGTTGTTCAACTAATAAAATCATGAGGTTGGTGTAAGAACCTGTATAGTTCAGAACTGAAAAACAAAAAGTGGTTGAATTGTCAGATAAACATTGTATAGTAACAAACTTCTCAAATAATTTATGCTGGTATTAATTAAAAATAAAGTTGTTTCATGGTTTTGTATTATTAGTATTTCACATTTTCCTTAGAATCATGACCACTTTACTAGATAGTGTTATAATGTGATTTTAACTGTGAAAAAATCTGTAGAGATGTGTCTTCAGCTAACCATGCAAATGGATTTATAGTTCTTTCTTCCCAAGAGGTAGTCTGTAGTCTTGTTTTTGTATTTGAGATGGGTTGCTGTTGTCATGAATACAGGATATACTCAGCCAAGAGAATAAACTCCTCAGCTAAACTGAGCAATAAGAATTATGAATCATAGTTTGAAAGGCTTTTAGTACTCCTCTAAACTTTGCTTTTACTTTTTCCTTTTTTCCCTCCCTGCCCATCCCCCCAGAAAGCTATTAAATATACTGTCTAGGAAGAGTTCCTACGTGTTCCTTCTGTGGTTACACTTTAAGCCTCAGCAGCAGAAAGGTGCTGCTACTCCAAATTACATTTCTCTAACAGATGAAGAATTTCTGGACTAGAAACAGTAGGAAGACCAAGAGAGGGTTGGTGGGAAGTTAGAGGAACAAGACGCTAGCATTGAGAAAAGTGTTGCTGTTTAGAAAAAGAACAGTTTGCCATGTTGGACAGTGTGTTTTATTCCTTTTTGCAGTGCTCTTGGCATTGACGTTTTGGATACAGCAAAAGCAAAGGCCATTCATTTGGTTCTCGGCTTTGGCAATTATAGTCTTCAGATCAGAGCTCTGCATATTCTTAGGCCTCATGCTCTTGGTGACGTTATTAACTAAGCGAATCTCCATTTTCAAAGTTCTTTCCCATGCTGTTCCTGCTGGAATTTTTTGTCTGGGTAAGTGTTTGCTTGGAAAAAACAAATGCTGTGTGTTAAATTCAGCAGAAGTCTGGAGATTTGACTGACTTCTCTGGTCACGTGGCTCTTGGGGCTTTTTTTTTTTTTTTTCCTTTTTGCCATTTTTTTTTTTTTTTCCTTTTTGCCATTTTTTTTTTTTTTTTTTTTTTTGCCCCTCTGTATGCCAGTGCTGTGACATGGTTGTTTATTTCTTTGGAAATTTCCATGTGAGGAAATAGGTGTGCACAGAGCAGTGGAAAGATACTTTAGATGCTTACAGTTCAATGTCCTGATCTTAGAAAGGCTTAGATATGCAAATGGACTCTTGTAAAATTAGTACATGGCTGTAGCTACACATGCATTATCAGTTGTAGTATCTATTGCCATGACCGTAAGCTGAATCCCAGGATACAACAGTGTGGCAGACAGGGATATCAAGAGAGAGGGTTGTGGGCAGTCACAGTTCAGCTCTGTTTCTTTATTACATCAATTTTAATAGCTTAAGTGATTATCCATTCTAGAGAGTTTGAAAAATCCCCATGTCTCTGCTCATCCATGGAAGGCTTATGCATATGCACATAGAATCGTAGAATAGTTTGGGTTGGGAGGGCTTCTCTGCCAGCCTACCTAATTAAAAATGCTGTTTTCAGATGCCTGATAGTGACCTGTGGTGGTATGCTGTCCCTTCCACAGCATGGGCAATAGAGACAGTAGAAAATCATGACGTGCATTTGGAGGCATCTCGCAGCATATTTGGGGGTCCAATGGGAATTAGTCACTGGTACTCCCATTCCCTCTCTGGGCTAACTTCATAAATACCAGAGCAGTTTTCAAAGAGCTGGGTAAAGGAGATGGGGTTGATGGATTTGCTGCTCTTCCTGTCTTTTTGCCTTTCATCCCTTATTCTTTCTTCCCTCCCATCTAATAAATAGTAGCAAACTTCTAGAGATTAATTTTTCTTAATTTACCAGCTTGACAATAAACATACATTTAGTACCATTTGAAGTTAACCTGGCTTTCTTACCATCCACTGCATTTAATGCTCTAATATTCTTTCAAAATGAACTTCAGTGAAACCACTGCTTTTCGCTCCTGGGGTTAGAGTGGGGCGACTCTCACAATCATTTTCCTGTCTAACATGCTTCTGCTAAGACTTCTATTAAGAAGTGCCTCCCTCCCCTGCATTTCCAGTGCAAGATAGATTCAACCTTCTCTGTGGCTTTGGGTGAGGCTTACAATGCATGTTTCAGTTTACATTGATCTCATCAGTAAATGTGCAATTTGGGTGTGTTAGTTTGCTTTTCCCTAGTTTTTAATTCATGCAGATTTATATTTCTTTAATTCTTTTAGGGCTAACGGTTGCTGTGGATTCTCTATTTTGGAGACAACTTGTGTGGCCTGAGGGGAAAGTGCTCTGGTATAACACAGTTTTAAACAAAAGTTCCAACTGGGGAGTATCCTTTGAAACATCCTGGAAAAAAAGATACATTGAACAATACTAGCCAAAGCAGAGACTTGATGTGACCTATTCCTGAGACTCAGTTATGGTGTTAAATTCTGTTTTTCATTTAGTATGTCAGTATTTGAAGCTTATGAGACAATGTCTGTTTCTTAGATCTATACATTTTAATTCTCATCTTCTGACTGTTCCTTCTTGCTTTGTTATGTTCCACCAGTGTAAAGCCAGATTTCTTCCCTTGGTTTTTCATGTTGCCCATCATTAGAACCTTTTGATGTGCCTCTTTTGGGTGATGTGAATATAGTAGGCAACTGCTTTTATTTCTCAAAGGATAAGGCAAGAAACCAAATGCCTGGAAGAATGTGATATACAAAAAGCGTACTGCGTATTTGCAAAATGTGTGTGTACTGCTGTAAAGAATAGTTACTTTACACATTAGCAGTGAAAGCATCCTTAACTCTCACCTTGAAGACCTCTCCCTTCTTGTGGTATTTCTATTCAGCCCTGCCTCGTGCTTTGGGATGCAGCATTATATTTGTACCTTTAGGTGTAGCAGAAAAGAGAACTCGGATATTACTCTTGCCAGCACTGGGCTTTATTTTCTTGTATTCATTTCTCCCACACAAAGAGCTGCGTTTTATCATATATACTTTCCCTGTCTTCAACATAGTGGCTGCTAAAATGTGCTCACGAATGTAAGTTCAAAATTCTATGGTTTTTTTTTGTTTATTTTTTTGTTGTTGTTGGGGTTTTCCTCCCTCTAAAAATGCAAAAAAAGCAACACTTATTACTGGTTTTACGTACTTCTTTCCATCTTGGAATCTGAATTATCTTGAAATCTTCATATCCTTTAGAAAGGAGGTCTGTATCATTTTACCCATTTGACTAACGAGGGAAATGGAGACAAGTAATTTGGTAGGATGATTTGGCAAGTTTGGGATAGAGTCAAGAACAGAGCCCTGATTTTACTGTTATGCTGTTACAGTTCAGTTTATTTTATCCACCAGAGAAAGATATATTCAAGTGTACTACTGTGGTGTTAACATAACTTACGTTAGGAGGTAGTTTAATAAATAGGTGGGGCTCCTGAACCATGAGTTTGTGTTAAATAGTTAAGCTTGGGTATATTGAGTAAACAAATTGAACTCTGAACTTATTTGAAAGAGACTACATTCATAGCTAAAGGTTTTAAACACACATACTTAGCTTTATTTATGAGCTTGTATTAGCTTTATTAATGAGATTATTCTAATTTAAATGTCACTAGAAGCTAGTCTTTTAGGAATGGATCATAAATGCACTCCATACACATGATTGTAATAACATTTGCATTAGTTTTCATTACTTAGCAGTGGAGTTTTCATATGAGTTCCATCACAGTAGCCAGTGACCAGTATGAAAGAAAAGTAACAGTTTATTCTTACTCATTCTTTCCTTCCTCGACAGTCTGAATAACTACCGGAAGTCCTGGCTGTACAAACTTGGATCTTTCTTTGTTGTTATGCATCTCCTAGTTAATGCTGCTTATTCAGGAACATCTTTATATGTTTCACATTTTAATTACCCTGGAGGCGTTGCAATTCAGAAGTTGCATGAGTTGGTGCCTTCAACAGCAGGTATGTAAAGATGGCTTGAGGTATGTCCACCTAATTTTAATTGCAGGGTTTTTTTTGCTAGTGTATCTTTCTTTTCTTTTGATTGGGTATTACTTCTTCGCACTATTTACATGCACCTTTTCTGTTACTGTTTGTTAGTTTATTGATCAGAGTGTTCGTAAACCAATATTGAAACTATTTTATTTTCTTTATTTATGTAGACGTCTCAGTCCATATTGATGTGGCTGCAGCACAAACAGGAGTTTCTCGGTTTCTAGAAATCAATTCAGATTGGAGGTATGTTATGAACAAGGTTATTTTGATCTGAAGACAGGAGCCTGCTTTTTTTCTTTTTGTATATGCACAGGGGCAAGCATCACAGATACAGGGTTTGGTACAGCATATTTATTAAGCCAGGTGAAGAATAATGTGAATCTTCAGAAAATTTTGCTGTATGTAGCGCTGCCACTTCAGAAATAGAACACAGCAGCATTGTTTAATTGGGTAAGTTGGTTCTGGTTTGCCTGAGTAGTATAGAATCTTTTAAAGAAGTCAGAAACCGCGCAACAAATCATAAGCTTACTAAAACACCAGTGTCTTTAGTAAAGCTACATCTGATACCTCACTACATTTTGTAAGAGAGCTGTAGGTGAACACTTGCCTGTTCTTGGCAGAGCAGTATATAATTGTGGGGGTTTGTTTGCTTTTGAATGATACGTAGCAATGTGAAGCTTATGTGTGTTTTAATAAGTCTGCTTTTATGTGGAACATCCTTCACGTAGATGGCATTGAAGCTGCTGTGGTTGGGCTGTCAGTCATGTCCTTTAGCTCTGAGAGAAAGCAGTTGAGTGCTTTGTTACCTTGACCAACAGTGAGCTACAAACACGAATATTGAAATGAATAGTAGGAGAGATGTTTGTGGGATGGCTTTGGTTGCTTTGCAGGATGCAGACCAAAAAAGGCACCTTTCTGTTTCTTAGGCCTTCCTCTTCAGCTGAACTGCAGGTTTCCCATTCAAAATGTCATCTTAATGGAAATCATTCAGCAGAAAGTGACACAAAGCCTCACTTCATACTTACACAAAACAAAAGCAATACAAGCTGATTTTGGTTTAAAAAGTAATCTGAGCGTGGAGTTGTTTGTTTTTTAAGTCCATCTACAGCCTTCAGGATCAGATGAACAAATGTAATTTTTTTTATGTTTAGATATAAAAGTATTTTGGAAGTCAAGAGGGGAAGGTAAAAGCATGCTTTTGGGAAATTACAAAAATCACTGCCCTTGCTATGGCTTATTTTATTTTTGTGCTCTCTGATAACATTGTGATGGTACGGACAGTTTGAAGCTGAATTACCTTCACAGTTAGCAATCCAGTGTTTGTTTCAAACTGGTTTTTGCATGTTCAATCTAGAGAAAGTCTTAAGCCATAAGTACTCAGGAGGAGATACTAAACTAAAAGTGATAGAACACGGTATAGTTATTATTAGTGATAGCTAAAATGTTTTTTGAACACACTTAAGTACACATGCTACTCTAAATAGAACTCTACTCTCTAAATACAATGTTTAATTTCAGTGAGCTTCTTTGAGCTGGTGGGTTTTGGATTGTTTTGGCCTTGCAGGGCTGTAGTGTGGTGGGATTGGGAACAAATTACATCCCTGTCACTGATGGATGATGTTTCATAGTGTTGCTGCTACAGAGCAGTTTTTCATCTTTACTTTTCATAATAAAGCCGCAAGAGAGGGCTGGTTCATCATAGAGCTTCACATTAAAAAAATTGGGCAAAATCCACAGCTGAGCATCATACACAGGACTGTCACTTTTTCTGACAGTGCAATAGTGCAAAGTTTAGTGGCACCAGCTATCCATTTTCCTTTATCCAAGGAAGTGATGAAAACTAACTCACTGTCTTCATAGACTCTGTACAACAGGTGAAAGCAGATTTAAGGATGGAGTTGCTATGAAGGCTGATGATTCATCAGCATAACTATGATCCATAAATAAAAGTGTCTTAAAGTTAACAGCTTTCAGTGGCATGCTCAGATTAGATCTATTTGCCTCAAGAAAAATGCAAGTGATCCATTATTTTTCTTCAAAGGGTGACTGAAAGAAGCTCGATGCAGATTCTGACACAGGACAGGTGTTACAATCTCGTCTTCAATTAGTGCCATCTCTTTGAACCAGGAATAAATGTGCTGTGTAAGCTTCAAGTATTTAAAAATAATAAAATTCAGACATGCTTGCAGCCAGATGAAAGGCCCTTTATGTGCTGATGAAGAAAGTGCAAAATTAATAGTTGGTAGAGTTGTTACAAAGTATGCTGTTCCTTCTGCCTGTTGGATGGATGTACCGTCCTAAGTGGTACTGTGATCTTTCTGGAAATACTAGATGAAATTGCCATGTAATTTTTTTTATCATTATTATTGTTTTGAGGGGAAGAAAGCACTTGTTTGTGTGCAAAGTCTAATTCTGCATTATATGATGTATTTATTGACACCCCTGGATTCTGTCAGCCTGGGGTCTCTTCTCTCATGTTAACAAAATTTAGTTAACAATCCACACAAACCCTCTAGTTTGCTGTAAAGTCCTTGTTTAAAATATCTTAAATGTTAATGACTGCTATGTCAGGGAGTGTTGTGAAAATACAAATAGAGATGGTTTCCAGTTTTTCACAGAGAATTGTGGCACATGAGGCCAGGCCTGCAAAGACAGACATGGTGAAGGTGCAGCCTGGATTTGCTCCTAGCTTCATTTAAGAGTATGAAGGCTTGGGATTGCATTTCCCTTCCAGTGTCTATGCCTGCAAGAAAAGCCACAGCCTTGAGTAAGTTGCTTGTGAAATCCGTGGGAGGAATAAGGTGCCTAAGAACAGGAGTAGAAGGCTGGTAGAAGGCAGTTCACAGAGAAGGGCAACAGAAGGGGTTGAATGCTCTTTCTTCACTTGGGTTACAGAGCATTGACTCCTTTATAGTTAGATACCTGAGACTGTCTTGTCATAAACAAATTAAAGGAACTAACCTTCATCTTAACCTCTGTTTTCTGGACTGTTAACCCAGCATTAGTGTAGAGCATTCTTCTGGAATACAGAGCAAAGATTTGAATCCAGCTCTCCCACTTTTGGAAGCACACTTCACAGTGGTCTACAGGGTGTTTTGGGGTGGATTGATCTTATTCTTCCCCTTTGAAGTTGTTGGATTGAGGACTTAATCAGGCTGCCATATCCAAATTAAGCATCCTAACCCTTGGGCTATAGATTGCACCTGACTATCTTCAGTGAATGAATAAGTAACTATTGTGAAGTACAACTGCTTTCATGAGACAGCAAGAAAGATCTGTCTCAACTTCTAGAAAATTAGAGAGGTTCATACAGCTCTGTGTGGCAATGAACCAGTTCTGGGCTTAGATCAGATGGAGAATGGCTGAGTCTAGATCTTTCACATCCCTGCCAAATGCTGAAGTTACTTGTTTTCTCATCCTGTAAATTTCCGTTGCAGGTAGATTGAATGTAATTCCTTTTAAGAAATAACTATAACTGTAGGTGTTAAACAGTTTTGGAACTCATTAATTACTTTATATATATTTTAGATAAATAATTTAGATATATTTAGATACCTAAACAGTTCTATGAAGGTGACCCAAAGTGACCTACCCAAACATATAGATCATGGAACTGAACCCATAAAAAGTGCCAAGTTAATGCTGTAATTGCCAGGCTATTCTTTTCTACAGTGTTCAAGGAGGTCTTTTCTATGTGATTCTCTGAGGCTTCTAACTTTAATATATGACTGCCAGGCATGGAAGGTTTCTGGTATCCTTTCTTCACAGAACTCAGATAGAGGACTAGTGAGAAATTTACTAGGAATCCTGATTCATATCACAGTAACAGCAGAAAGGCTTGCATGGAATGACTGGCTCCCTAAACTCTATTTCCCCCTCCAATGCAAGTTAATTGAATCAAGAGATATAGCTGAGAATGTTACATTTGCTTTTGTGTTTCATCTTGGATGATGCTACATGCCTTGTAATAATTGAGATGTTTAATATGTAAAGAGAGGAATGTAAATAAGCCATCTCTATTCTTTACAGGTATGACAAAAGAGAAGATGTGAAACCAGGAGACCAGCTGATGTTTTCTTACACACACATACTAATGGAAACAAACCCTCTTCAAATATCACATTACAAGACAACCCACAGGCCACTGGCAAATATACCTGGCATCAGTAAAATTGGGTTGAACTTTACTGCACTACCTCCTTTTACTTTAAACTTGAAACCAAAATTAGTACTGTTGGAAAAACTTCCTCTATCATCTTGACTGTGAATTTTAAGTAAGTTTTTTGATGTAATTTTGCTGATGACTGAATAATCTTAAGATGCAGCAAATTGTCATTCCAGCACTGCAGTTCAGCTTCTGTGGAAAGGCACAGAAAAATCATTGTACCAGTTGGTATTTAGCTCCGTCCTGTTTCTTACATGAACATTACAGTGCATATCTAGTCAGTATATACTCAAATACTGAGTTGTATTGTTAGGTATGTTTGAGAGATGCTACCTACAAGTTTAGTAGTATTAAGTAAAACCTGTCTACTTGGTTTGGGTAGCTGCCTGTTTCATAATGTAGCACAGGTATGTCCTAATTGTCCTAGATAAGATACATAATGGCACAGGTTTGTGCTATGGCAATAATTTGATATGTAATCTATGTGTGCAAAGATATATTACGTGATGTATCTGCAGGATTGTAACCCCCTCATTGTCAGATTGCCTGTGTGAAACTTATGATGCTATCAACATAGGAAAGCCATATTCATTGTAGCTTCATCACAATACCTCATTGTGCCCTGTAGGCTACCAAACAAAGTGAAGGATTGACTTAAAATGCAGTTGGACCTTTTAACAAGCACCGTCTCATAACAGATTTGAGGATGGTTATCTTTATTCTAAGAGCTCATAAAGAAGCAGCAACTTGGTTTTCACAGGAAAAAGAACTAAAACTGAAGCTTCCCTCTTTTGCTGCAATGATATCTTAATTTGCAGTGCAAGAATTTACCTATGAAAGTACTCACTTGAATACACTTTTAGAAGATATGTACTCCTTTTTTTAATTAAGTAGTCCCTTTGGAAAGGCATAATCTTATGTGCTGTGTGTTGCATTCTGTAAGCTAGAATAAAATAGCATGCTCTGTAGTATCTTCTCTATTAGATGTTTTTGTTAAGAATGTTTGCTAAGGGGTAAACTAAGGATAAAAAGTTGCAATTTTGGTTAGGGCTGGCTGTAATATGACGGGAGCTCCATTTGTGTAAAAATCAGTATTGCTGAAATAAACATAGGCAGGAAACTATTCCTTGCTGGCTTAAAAACTGAATAAAAAAAAATTATTGAATAAAGTGGGTTCATTCAGGAATTACCTTTACCTGTTTGTACATTTCATTTCTTAGAACCATGTGTTCCTTTTATCCTCTAGATGATGTAGCAGAGGATGGGATCTGTGGGGTGGAGCCTGCCTCCCCTGTGAGTGGCTGTAGCTGTTGTGCAGGCTTCCTCAAGTGGAGCAGATGTGGCAAAGGCAACCTGCAGAACTTGTTGGTCCAGTCTCTGGCTGCTCTAGAAACTGAAATCACTCAAGTATTATCTATTTGACTTGCCTTTGGAAGGAAACTCAGCTTCCTTCACAACCAGTATGAACATCAAACAATTCACGAGACAGAAGGAAGTACATGTGCAAATAGCTGAGAATTTGGAATGAAACAAAAGGAAACTTTTAAATAAGGATGTAGGCCCTTATGTTAAATTTAATCATTATCTTTATGTGACTTTCCCACACTGTAATCCGTAACTCAAGAACCTACACTAAAATTTAGCCTGCCCAAGCGTAGACAGATACCTGCACTGCTGCAGTTAGGTGTATAGTTACTCCAGCTTTCCAAATCCTGAGTTGTCAGAAACCCTCTCCAAACACAGAGGGAACTTAGGGCTATTATGCTTGTAACACTGTCAGCTAGAGCTAATGCGTGGAGTGGCATGAAGTATGTGACCATTAGGCATTTGAGGAGTTTAATCTTCCTGCATGTCAGACACATAGCTGATGGGTGCAGGTAAGAGAGACACTGAAAACTTGGAATTTCTGAAGTGAGGTTAAAGTACTACATTTCTGATGACTACTGAAGTTATTAAAAGAAAATTCTTTTGACTAATTATAAACAAACATAAAATATCCAACATAAAAAATCTTTAACACTGGGAAAAGCCAGAACTTGTCTGAGGGTCTTCTCTTTGCCCTCCCTTTCACTTTAGCCATCTGAACACAGCCTCAATGCAATGTAAGAAGGTTATAAACACTGAAACACCGATACACCCCTTCTTCTCTGTTCCTTCCCCTTGCACACATCCCCTTAGTGAGACAGGTTACACATTCAGGCAAACAAGGTTGTGATTATGCTGCCTCTCCCAGCTTGGTTACAACTGTTCTAGGACCATTCCCATCTACCCGACTACTCCTCATTCTCTCCATAACACTCAGGAGCTTGCAAGGTAATTAATATAAGATTGAAGCACTTGTTCACTGTATCTCGATTTCAATGCAGGATTGTGTGTTCCCTTGCACCCCAGAGCCTTTTTCCTATAAATAACAATTATACACAAGTCTAGTGCTGCTCTTGCTTTCTTCATTTTGCTACCTGTGCTCATGCTTAGAGTCCCTTCTCCCCTCAGGGCTTTCCTTGTAACTTAGCATTGAGTCTGCCTTGTATAAATGACTTCACTTTGTGAGGAAAGACCACCACCACAAGCTGAGTTAGTCACTGATACAAGCAGGACTGTTCATCCACAGCCTTCTCAGCTATTTAGCATCTCAATGAAATGGATCTTTCTGCTTAACACTCCACACAGGTGATCAAAAGGGTGGTGGCAGTAGAAATTCCTGAAGTTAAATGACAACACCTCCGGGAAGGTTTTCTTCAGTTTTTGTTTAAATAGGTGTGATTCTTAAACATAATTAATCCATTTTATATGCAACTGCTTATTTTAGATCAGTTCTTTAAACATGAGCAACTACAACCACTTTTGGTTGGCTGTTTCAGACCTTTGTGACAGCAAGGCCCGTGTTCCTTCTGAAATTCTACATCTTACTGTCAGGGGCAGTCTTTCACCAGTTCTACTTTATTGCAGCTGCAGCTGCCCTTGGTACTGTACCAAGGCTTGATCTGTGTTCAGATATGTCAAGTGTAAGGTAAAAATGCTTCTGAAATAGAACCCATCTTTTTCTTTAAAACTTTCTTGTCACCAAGACTAAAGCAAAGGATGAATATATTTGTGGAAGACTAAAATGCTTAGTTTATAAAAGCTAAATAATCTGTAATTATTAATCTGTAATAATTTATTGTTATTTGCTAATTATATGGGTGTTTGGAGATAACTAAATGCAAGTTTGTTACAGTCATCTCTGTATAGTGGCAAAAGAAATATGTTACTTTATGGCACAGATCTCACCAACTATAAGCAATTACTTTGAGCTTGTCATCTAGATGGTAGACATTTAATCAATCACATCCTTGTGCTGGAATATAAGATGCTCTACATGTTTGTTTTCAGGTTTTGCAAATTCAAAAGCAACACCTGGGGAGCAAGGAGAAGCCTGGAGCATTCCTAGTTAATGTAGTCCAGCAGGTTTCCTTTACTTCGTGAGTAGGGAAGGAGGCCAAATGGAAAGGGGCAATGCCAGAGGAGCATTATCACAGGTTACCAGAGTCTAACACAACTCCCAGAGGATACCTTCCCTAATACTCTCTTCACAAGACTTAAGCTTGTTGAAGAGGCTGTTGCAGATCTCTACTTCTTCCCCTTCCTACCTTTAGAACTACAGTATCTCTCTTCTTTACAGTGTGTAATTAGTTACACCTGCTTACTCTTAGAAACAAAATCTGCAAATCCTTATGGGGACACCAAGTACCATCTTTAGTGTCATCTATGCTAAGAGGGAGAATGTCTGCTTACTAAATTTATTCCTAAGGTTGTAATGTGCTGAAATGAACGGTTTAAATGGAGTAAGTATCACTGTTGCAGGACCACATCACTATGCATTAGGGAGCCGTCTGCTGCTGCAGGGGCTGGTGCAGCACAAACAACATGATGAAAACCCCCACTGTTAATAGCTTGTGCTTTATTGCAGTCAGAGAGAGTAATGCGAGAACACAGGAGTTTCCTTGGCATTACAGATATGAGGAGGGTTGGAAGAACCAAGACTTTTAGCAATCCCTAAGATTTATATTAAAAACAATAAAGTAAACCCAACACAAACCCCAGCCACTCAATGACTTATGTCAATACTTCACTGAAAGCTTTCAGTCCTCCTTTGGAAGTCACTGTTTCCTCAAAGGCAGCAGTGCCTGACCTGGAGGTGGAGATGCTTCTGTAACTCCTATAGAAGGATCAAGGCTTACAACTGAAACCATCAACTTCATGCTTTTAGTTTCTCCTCTCCTATTTTTATTTCAGAATTGTGTGTTTCTACTTTAAAGCCTTTTTGGGCTTCATCTTTAAAATATTCTAATGCAAGCCTATTACTAGTTCTTACCCAAGCTGACACTGAAACAGTGTGGCCTTAAGAACTGAGCCTTTCAAAACCAAAATCAAACTGCAGGTACAAATAAAAGCAGACAAACTGATAAAATTTTACTTCTAGAACTCGTGACTAGTTCTTGTGCTCTCAGGAAAAGTTTTCATGAAAAGCATGACCATGCAATTATGTACCCATATGAATAAGATGCAAACTGGGGGCTACAAAGTGCCATCTCTTCAGCTTTTCACAGGAGCTACAGCAAAGGCAGCCTTCAGAAGAGCCAAGAGGCTTGTTTCTGGAGAACTGGGATTCTCAGGTAAGCTGGTTGGCTGCCAGCATTCCTGCTGGGATGCTGTGGCTCTGCAATGCTTTAAGCCAAAGGCCATATTTACATTCCAGCCTTGAGGAAAAATTGTATCACTTGTTCAAAAAGAAAAACATTCTTCATCATCTCCCCCCTACCGGTTTGGGGGGATCAAACATCTCCTTTACAGAGGTCAAGGTTATATATTCACAGTTAAAATGTAGGGAAAAAATTGAGATAATAATTAACCAGTAACCACTTAAACATGTTTCCCAATAAGCTGCTTCAAACTCACCTACTTCCAACTATACATAAACTAGAACAAATTGTTTTATTACTGCAGAAAAAAACCCCACACATGCTGTTCTCATTTAACCCCATAAGAACACAGAAATGTTGACTGTTGATAGAATTGAAAGTTACCTTTTAAAATACTGGAGACAAAATGCTGTATTAGTTTTTCCCAAGTACACTGAATAATAATTTACTTAAATAGTACAGGTGTAAACATAACTCATGGAACAACTGAAATACCTGAAGCCGTAACATGTTTATAGAAATGGCATGTGGAAACTAAAGCCATGTGGGACAGAATTCAACACATCTCCCTGAGGTTGAACAGCTTGAGTGAAAAGGAAAGCACCAGAATCCAGGCTTAAGTCCAAAGAGGAAAACCAGTCTTGTCACACAGCAAGTTATGTGGTACATTTATGACAATTACAATCGTATCAATTAACTTTTATTCAAGTGTTGTCTTATATCCATCTGGAAATAAAAGGCAGTGTTGACTACCACTAGAAAATTGCAAATAAATTGTTTAATTTCAGAAACCGAGTTCACCATTTATAAATACACTAAAACATAGTAAATGCAAAATTAGATTAGGCATAGGTACAGTATTTTAACAAAGCTACAACTTTTCTAAAAGGTCATAGGCAAATGATGACTTGTTTCCCAAAACATACTGAATGAAAACTGAAATGAGAAGATTAATCTTTCTAGAGTTAAATCATGGAGAACGGTCCTTTCAAATTAAAATGCTGGCTATTTTTTTTTTTTTTTTCCCCATCTTGAACTCTGTATCCCATTTGCCTGATGGACACCAACAGTTAAGAATCAACCCTACTACATAAAATTCTAAGCAGTGCACCATATCCATAAGGCTATTACTGAAAACCAGAAGATCCTTTATTTCTGTACTAGGAGCTTTAGGACAGGCTGTTCTACACAACTGAAATTACATTAGGAGTAAGGGCTCAATTTTTACAATAGGGAACCTTATAATTTCGACGCACTAAAGATTAGAAAAGGCTTTAGAATGACACTAGAGTCTTCATGGTAAGTTTCCTGCCTTTTTTTCTTTGTACATGGCATTAAATAACAAGCATAATTCACAAACTCTGATAAGACTTCCAAAGGACTTTTATAAATATGCAGAGTATTTCTGTAGTTCAGTTAAAATGTAAAACCTGAACAGGAGAACCCAGAACGGGAAGTTTTACTACCGATTCCTGTAAAACTGGCAT